CGCTGCTGGAATCTATCTCGAAGACTGAGAGCAAGATTGTTCAAAGACGTGGATTGTTCAGGGTGACCAGGGGGATGGAGGAGTAATGCAGTCCGATTAAGCTCGATGGCCTCATCGAGGTCGGACATGATTCCATGCAGCTGGAATCTGTCTCGAAGACTGAGAGCAAGATTGTTCAAAGACGTGGATCGTTCAGGATGACCAGGGGAGCGGAGGAGTAACGCAGTCCGGTTGAGTTCGATGGCCTCATCGAGGTCAGACATGATGCTACATTGCAGGAATCTGTCTCGAAGGCTGAGAGCAAGATTGCTCAGAGACGTGGATCGTTCAGAATGACCAGGGGAACGAAGCAGTAATGCAGCCCGATGGATCTCGATGGCCTCATCAAGGTCAGACATGATACCACCCTGCTCGAATCTGTCTTGAAGGCAGACAGCGAGATTGTTCAGAGATGCGGATCGATCTGAATGGCCGGCAGGACAGAGGGGCAATGCAGCCCGATGGAGCTCGATGGCCTCATCAAGGTCAGATATGATGCCACCCTGCCGGAATCTGTGGCGAAGGCAGGCAGCAAGATTGCTCAGAGACGCAGATCGATCTGAATGACCGGGGGGATGAAGGAGTAGTGCATCGCGATGAAGCTCGATGACTTCATCAAGATCAGACATGGTGCCCCAGTGCTTGAATCTCTCTCGAAGGCTGACAACTAACCTGTTCAGAGACAAGGATTGATCTGGATGACCGGGGGAACGGAGGAATAATGCAACTCGATGGAGCTTGACAGCCACATGGTTTGCTAGGTTAGTGAGGCAAGATGACCACTGCCCCATCTCGCTGTGAAATTTAGGTCTCCCACTGAGTCCAAAATGGAGTGAGATCAGAATGAATACACACTTGGGGGAGCTGGAACTGCAGCACTGGCGCACCAAAGACCCACCAGTGCAAGGGAAACGATACAGTGAGTACTCGACGATCCCTGGAATTTAACGGCGAGCTGCAAGGAAGGACCTCATACCCGTTCCCGCGCGGGTGCCGAGCCAACCATAGGTACCCGCGAGTCGCGAGGGCCCGGAGCTCAGGAAAAGGCATCCAAAAATATCCGAGTCCTTCACTGCCAGCTGAAGAATGTGCGCCAGTTAAACGTTGACGCGCTTCAAAGGGAGTCCAGAGAGGAGGAAAGAAAATAATCATTGGTTGATGTAGCTAGTAGTACATCCCTAACGTAGAACACTGGCGCATCAGTACCAAGAAAATAGTCGTTACACTCTCTTCCGAAACTCTTGAATCACATGTTTGTGGCGGTTCAAAAATAGTGAAAATAGTGGGATTCAAAGTAGAATTTGGGATAATATTTTGGATTTCGCACGAGACACTGACAAAATTTGAAGTTATGTACCCAGATTTATGTCAATTTAAATTTCAAAAATATTCTTTGCATTCTGTACAACATCAAAACCTATCTTAAATATCTCTAGCGCCGCTGTGTCATGTCAGCGGGTTTGCCGATGGTCGTCCAATGTTGCAGGATACAACCTAGTGCTTCTTGCCAATAGTACAAATCCTAAGTGCGCATGTACAAGTCACTATTTCGTGTTCAAGATCCTACAACCCTTCCTTGTAATGAGCCATCGCGCCTCTCAGAGATTCCTCATCCCCAAATCGCGGCTGAAAACGCGCAGTGAACGGTTTGGGGTGCGCAACCACGCCGTCCACGAAGCCCATGTCATCAATTGGGTTCTCTGGGTCCTGAGTGATCTTGAACGACCACAGAAGGAGCGCGATGTTGATAAAGACCGAACGATCCGCTATGTGCCGCCCGGGGCAGATTCTGCAGGTTGTTTTTCAACAAGGTTCTACTCGGTCCGATATCAGGCAAGGCCGTACCTGCGTCCAAAGCCATATGAAGGGAACTTGATGTCGTCCCGAATTTTGCCTTCGCTGTTGAGCCACCTCTCAGGATCGAACTTGTCAGGGTTGGAGTAAACAATCGGATCACGTGAGATTGCCCTGTTGAAGGGTGAGCAGCACATTCTTTGACCAGAATGAATATCAATCTGTACCAATGATTGCCAAAAACGATAGCGCCCTTTGGGATACACATGCCTTTCTGCTCGAGCAGCCATAAGAATCGGAAAATCATGCCAAGGAAATGGAAACGTACATAAACGATATCGGTCGATGCGCAGTGAGCAAATCCAAGGGTTACCACAGGCCTCCAGCGAAGACACTCCAGCATGAACGCCTCTATCTGCGGGAGCGAATTGTAGTCATCGAACGTGGGAGCTGTAACGACCGGGTTGAGATTCGTTCACTAAGATGAGCTTTGACACACTTCTGTCACGACCAACGACGATGTCCAGCTGCTCTTGCACTGTCTCCTGCGCCTTGGGATAACATGCTGAAGCCATCACGACATACATGATCGCCACAGCTGTCGTGTCTGAACCAGCGCCAAAGAGTGATCCAGCGAGATAGGCCATTTCTTCTTGCGAAAGCTTGTGCGAGGACTGGTTCTCAAGGAGGTACCGAGCAAATGAAGGACCAGCTTTTCCAGTCGCCTACGAAGAACTGGTCAGAAGGTGTTTAAGAAAGACATCGAATGAACAAACCAATTCTCTTGAAACGCGATTGAGTTGGTCATGGAAGACTTGACTCTCTTCTCTTCTCCATTCCTCCAACTCGGTCGTGTATCCTGGGACGTATTTTAGGATTGGGAAGCGCTCTATCAGGAATGCCCCAGGTCGCATGAGCATCTGGAAGCGCTTGAGCATTTTGTGGACGACGATGATCTCGGGAGCATTCGTGGCGGTGGGCGTGGACTTCCCATACATGACACGCAAGATGACCGAGGCGGCATAGCTTGCGTTGGATGCGTTAAGTGGTCATAGAACAAGGCACGAAGAGTCACACACCGATTCGCAGCTGCTTGATGTCCTTTAGGGTTATCAAGGATGTCAAGGATGACATCACGGGCGGCGTCCATCTGGATTGGCGCATAGGATTCTGCAGCCTTCACTTGAAGATGAGTGTGTGCTGCCCTAATGAAACAACTTCAGCCAAAAAGTTCGGCAAGAGAAGATATCAACACAACTTGCGAAGTCTCCGGAACTGCTCTCCTGCGGGTGAAAGGATCATACGTAGCCCACGAGACAAGATCTCTCCTGCTGCAACCGCACGAGGGCGGTCCGCTAACTGACCACCTTCCTTCTCCATTATGTCATTCGATTCCTGCGCAGGTGAGTATGAAAGTGCACGCTGACTAGTATTTGAACAATCTTACCTGATATCTGCCAATAATGACCATGACCTTGCCAGGCCCAACCCGAAGCGAGATGATGGGCCCATAGGTATTGATCCATTCAGCAAACTGTTGAGATTGGCTGTAATGCGTTTACTGTCAGCGTCCGCGTAGACCCAGAGCGTCCTCTATTTATGTTCTCACTTGACTTTTGGTAGAGGGTTTCGGAATAGCCAATATCCAGGAGGACCTGGGGGAAGAGGCAGGCGTGACCTTGATCGTATTCTAGCGCGGAGGACATTGGCTGCCAGAACGAGAGCGACCAATGCTCCTAGAGCCTTGAGCCCAAATGACAAGCAGAGCATTGTCTGATAGTCTATCAGCACAAATATGATAACTTCAAGGGAAGCAGGGGAGGAATGAAGGAAGGTGAACACGCGGCGCACCAGCCCCCATTTTATTAATATCCTAGATGAGCTGATATGGGGGAACCCTATTAGGAGATAGGTGGTGGCTCGCTAGCGGTTAGTGCGGTTTCGGGAGGATCTACATGATCAGTATCGAAAGACCTTTAAGTTTACTGGCATCGTGCCGAGGCTCACGTTTAGTTGATCAGGCTTTTGAAAGCCAAGAGGAAATCTAGCTATGTGTCCCCAGTGACCTTGATAGAAGAAATCGTTCCTTCTTTGTCAAGAGTGAGGTCGTTCATGTCTGACATGCAGGCTCGAGCTTAGCATCAACGGAAAAACTTGAAGCTTTGTATTGCAGCAATATATTTCAAACCCATGGATTTAGCGGATATCTATAATGGGTCGAACGTACCACTTGATCTCTCTGAGTGAAAATCTACCTAGTGAGATCACGAAGAACACACCTGCATGCAGCTTCTTGGCTGACCAAACTAGTCCAACTCCTTCCTGACGAAGTTTGATCATATGATCATGTATCCTAGCTATCACCGCCGGCCATAGCATTATTATCTGCAAAATCATGATCAGAGGGAGTCTAACACATTGATAGATGTAATTCACGCACTTGATGTTCCAAGTCCATTGTCCATTGTCGAACATCAAATTCACAAACGTCGCAGTGGCGAAAACAAGTGAAAATGTGCTTACTAACCTGTTTGTCAAGGTACTTACTACTTGGCCAGAAACGAGAAAGCGAAGACCACCGAAATACGGTGCCGAAAGGACGAGCCTCACTTCGGCGGGCTAAAACTAGTCATATATCATTGCAACGTTCTCCATAGAAAGTGTGAACTTCTGGATCATGATCAAACCATGCTTGCTCCTCATGTTGCACAAGCCATCCCCAAGTCTGCGACACTTTGACTTGCGGATTTACAGGCGCAGAGCTCGTTAGCTTCGATCTGTCAGGATGCTATGCTGGATTGGTGGCCGCAGTGGACACGTGCAACCTCTTGTAGTCGCTCATTCCTTTCACAGGTTTCTACAACTTCATTGCTCGGATTTCTACTAATGTGCGTACGCATTGCGATTCAAGCTTATCTACCTGGATTTTGTGCTGATGAAATGCGGATAACATGACAGTGTCCTCAGTTTCGTCTTCGCCCACTTGCGCTCCTGATCTTCATCCTCCTCCGAGTCGTGTTCCTGACAGTCCTAACTTAATTGTGGTACCATAGCATGGCAGATGATGTAGAACAATGTCGAGCGGCCTTGAAGAGATGTGCCCCTGGCTATTCTCTTCGATCACAATCTCTCAGCAATCTCGCTAACAGCCTTCGAGACAGATTCAAGTAGCAGGGCGTCCAGTCTAACCTTGATGAGTCCGTCGAGCTCCACCGGGCTGCACTACTCCTTCGTCCCCTCGGTCATTCTGATCGACCATGGTCTCTCAACGATCTCGCCGTCGGCCTGGGCGACAGATTCATGGAGCAGGGCGTGCTGTCTGATCTTGAGGAGTCCATCGAGCTCCTTCGTGCTGCACTGCTCTTTCACCCCCGGTCATCTTGCTCGATCGTTGTCTTTCAACAATCCCGCCCCCACCCTTCAAGAAAGATTCAGGCTGCAAGGCGCCCCATCTGACCTTGATGGGTGCATCGAGTTCAATCGGGCTGCACTACTCCTTCGACCCCCCAGTCATTCTGATCGACCACCAATCTCACCTTCAGCCTTGGAGACAGATTCAGGCAGCGGGGTGTCCCGTCTGATTTTGATGATTGCATCAAGCTCCTTCGGGCAGCACTACTCCTTCACCCCCCTGGTCATTATTATCAACCATTTTCTCTCAACAATCTCGCCCTCGGCTTTGTAGATAGATTCAGGCAGCAGGGCGACCCATCTGACCACGATGAAGCATTTAGCCTGTTCTTGCAACTCTCCCACACATCCCATGCAGTCTCTCGTAGCGATCTTACTGCTGCTAAGTCATGGGCCACCTCTCCCGAGGAGACAAATCATAGTTATGCATTGGTTGCATATCAAACTACATTGAAAGTCCTAGATCAGCATGTCGCCCTTTTGTCGTCTTCCTCACGTCATTTCGATGTCGTAAGGATGGCCCCGGGTTCGCTTGCTGCAAACGCTTTCTTGTGCAGCATTCATCATGGCGCGCTGAAAACTGCTGTGGAACTGGTGGTGCAAGGTCGCGCAGTGTTCTGGACCCAGTTGGCACGCTTAAGCTCGCCGTTCGATGGACTTTCCCTACCCAGTTACACTGGTGCAGCCTTGGAGGAGGAGTTCAAGCAGCTGATCTTTCGCCTTCGCATCGCATTCGATCAGTCCACTGAAGACCAGTCCCCACACATCCGATGACTGACCATGCAATGGAACAATTCCGTCTCCCGCATCCGCATGCTTCCCGATTTGTCTCCGTTTCTCCTGTATCCCCTGTTCTCCGACCTACAGAAGGCCGCTGAAGAAGGTCTTGTCATCGTCGTCAATGCTAGTCAGTACAGCTGCGATGCCTTGATTGTCCACCGTGACCACAATCCTGTCCACATTTCAATTGGTATCACGCGGATCGAAGTCTCTGAGTTGTCCTCCGAATTTTAGTCCGTCGCAGAGCAATTTGGTTGTTCCGATCGTCAGAACAAGCTTGTGTGCATCCTCCGCAAGCTTTGGTATGATATCATTGACCCCATGGTCTGAGCCCTTAAGATGTCGAATGTTCACCCTAGCTCGCGTATCTAGTGGTGTCCCACCGCTGAATTCACTTTACTTCCTTTACATGCAGCAGGACCCTATGAGAAGGGGGGAGACAGCTTGTCACAGATTTACATCTCCTCTTGTACCCCCACGTTGGCGATACTCGTTCGTGCAAGACAGCGCGCTTCTCCATATACATCTACTCAATATTTTGTTGCAATTGGTCAAGGAAACCCGGACAGTGGGAATGAACTGCGATGTGTCGCTCCCGAGTTAGCCGACATAGCTCAGCGTCTCGTACCCATCGTGTCGTCCTTCACATCGCTCGAGGAGAGCGATGCAACAGTGCAGGGTGTTCTCGAAGCAATAAACCATAACCAGTGGCTTCACCTGGCCTGCCACGGAATGCCGAATCGACAATGACCATTTGAATCTTCCTTCGCCATGCGTGATGGGCCGTTGATGATCAAGGACATCATCCGATCCAACTGGGAGAGCCCGGAGTTTGTATTCTTGTCGGCTTGCCACACTACCGTTGGCGATGAGAAGAGTCCTGACGAGTCGATCCATCTCGCCGCGGCGATGCAATTTTCTGGATTTCGCAGTGTCATAGGTTCTATGTGGTCCATCGACGACGAGGTTGCACGGCAGGTTGTGTCTGCTTTCTACGATAAGCTGGTTGATGATTCGGGGGGATTGGACTGCACGCGGGCTGCGATGGCGTTGCACAAGGCAGTGAAGAAATTGCGGCGCAATAAGATTTCACTGGAACAGCAGATCGCCTTTGTTCATATAGGTATCTAGTTCGAGGCTCATTCGCTATTTTCTATGATCCTGATCTCTTTCATTCCCCACTGTCTCAATAATATCTCAGTTATTTGGATCATGTCTGCGCAATACTTTTTTGTACATTAATCATGGCTTGCTCCTATATATTCCTTTCTGCAAACATGTCTTAATCATGAACGTTGAACGTTTGAACAATGAAACACAAGACGTGGTACACTCCGCCTTTACCTTTACCAGATTGGTGTATTCACCTTGTGCATGATTCTTCTTCGATGCGTCCCTCTGTTACCGTGTGTTCGTGTCGCATAGAATGCAGAAATCATTGAGCACCCCCTCTGCATGAGTAAAAGGGAACGAGCCACAACCTCGCTGCCCATTAACAAGGTCATAAATACAACAAGCATGTCGCATAAAGATAGAGAGAAAAAGCATATCGAAAGTGTGTGATTACGATAAAATGATCTTGAAAGGATCCGATCCACCCCAGCTATCGTCGCCCGGCACACCGCATCAAGCCTCCGACCATTGAGATGCAAGAAATCACATACAGCTTGTACCTCGAATCCGCAATGATGTTGGCAAGCTCCAATGCGCGCTTCGCATTCCTGTCCAAGATGTATTAGAACTACAGGCACTGCATACAAAGATATGCTTACTTTGTGACATCCAGCCGCAGTGTAAGCTCAGGAACGTATATCTGCCGAACGGGAGTTACACAGCTCACAGGAACAGCGATCTCCTGTCTCGTCCAGCATCATCCAATCCAAGGTGAGTAGTTTCACAACGGCATCGTAAGCCTAGTTGATAAGTCCCTTGTAGTCGCTTAACCAAGCAGCTCTGGTATCCCGGTTGATTGTCGACACCTCTAAACTCTAGCACTCAACGACGTAGTCAAGACTGTCCCAGATCGTGAAGGACTGCCTGTAGTGAAGGTATTATGTGGCTCGTTCCTCAAATTGGTGGATGGTCCAAGGCAAGTTCACAGGGAAGCACCTCCACAAGGTTCTTGGCAAGTGAAACCCTCTCGTCATCTGAAGCCATGGATTAAGCCGTGATAGTAGAACCTCCACAAAAAGCTTACTTATGGAGTACCGCAAAACAGTGGTACCGACTTGTTCCAGCGCAGCATGATATGTTCCACCCTTGGACGTCATCCACTCTATGGAACGAAGTAGCAGGAGCTCGATGATGGAAGGAGTGACCTGCAACACAATGACAGAAGGGAGGCATCCCTCCATTTGGGGTAGAAGCTGCAAGTAGTGTTCAGAACATGAGTTTCGTGGGGTGCGAGTCCCATTCAAACCACCTGTAGAGTCGACCGATTGATAACCCGAAACGGCCAGCGATGGCCCGGACGCTAAATTACATAATACGGCAAACAAACATATCTAAACTTTGATTCTCTCCCCTGAAGATGGAACTGCTTTCAATCAACGATGAAAGCATTCGACAAGAGGAGCATGAAATTACTCCGTGAGATCCGCACAATAAAATCCTTCTCTTGTTCAAGTCCTCCCGTTCCGACAGAGCTGGCGTACATCCATCGGCTCCCAGCGGAACTTCTACAACAGGTCTTCTTGCTCATTGTTAACGACATCCCAGGCTGTCCCAGCATCTTCTCATTAGAATATAACACTATTTCGCTCAATGTTTTCAACCCTCCCTTAGTCTTCACCAGAGTGTGCCGTCTCTGGCGAGCCGTTGCATATTCAACACCAGAAGTCTGGTCACGCATCCTGGTCGCGCTCCCTGGGAAAGTTAAACCATGGAAACCATTTCTTCCATATTTCCTCCAGTGTTGGCTTGCTCGCTCTGTCAGGCTGCCCCTCACCCTTTGGATTGTTGACGATTCCAGAACCGCAAGTGCAATTGGATTGAACCAGTGGCAGACTCTCGACTTCTTGATATCCTCCTTTCTGAGAGCCAGCGTTGGGAAACGGTTGTCTATGTCACCCGTGCAAGGCTGGAATCCTGACTTCAACACACCTCAGTTGAAAGCCTTGGAGTGCAATGAATCAAATCTCAGGAACATCGATGCACCAAAGCTTTCCTACCTACGCGTCGATGGTTACTTTTGTTTGACCGTCCCAAACGGACAGTCGACCCTTATTTGCAAAGATCTATGTCATATCCGCCTGCGGGCCGCTTCTGCGCCTGCTATATGCTCCACTATAGCCAGTTTCGCCTCATCTGGAGACCATCGTGGTTGATAAAATCATACCCTTTCATTTTGGGACGTTCCTGCCCCTATAAGTAATTTGGTGCTTGAATCGATGACTCTCCCCCTCCCCTTCTATTTTCTGGAGGACACCCGACAAGAGTTTATCAAGATATTCACTCGACTCACCTTCCCATGTTGCGGAAAATTGACTCTGGTGGGGGCGCCGGAAAAACTACAAGTGGATTGTCTTTTAGCGATGCTAGCAGTTGCATCTTTCCAGGTGCCAGTGGTAGTTTCGGACAGGCACTGCACCGCTGAGCACAGTTCATAAGAACAATATTACGTCGTTGCTCAGTTGTGAGAGAGGTTACTTATTATGGGTAGGTGCTCTGCTATCTCGCCCCACGCACTTGATCATGCCTTGTTTAGATATTCGCTTCAGATCGATGAGTATCGGAATTCACAACTGGGGAAACTGATATGTATATGTACACGCCGATGAATTCTGTCATGCGTTCGCGACGGATGAACATCCTGAGATTACACGACTACGACTACAGAAATACTATGCCTCACTACAGATTTCGGCCTTCCGTCTCTCGTCTTGTTCATAGGGTGCCTATAAGTATATGGGGGTGTGATAAGATTGCGATTTGTCAGGTGCAGCTAAAGGTGGAGCTTTATCTTTATCTATAGCGTGCGATGTCAAGATAACGGTGAGTCGCATGTCCGATGCCCTTTGGGGAGCGTAACATTGGTGATTGACTAGCCGCATGTTCGATGAGGGTGTGGGCACGGCGATGGTGGTGCTTGACGTACATGGTTGACTTCTGAATCTTGTATCAAGTATTAGGGTAAATTAAATTAGAGTGGAAACCGCACTCAAGTGGAGCGTGAATGACATCATGTGAGAAAAGTCCGGTTACGTTA